GATCCAGCCCTGAGCATCCCACGGGGCCAAATCCAGACCCAAATATCTCCCCCCCCACACCAGGGATGGATCCAGCCCCAAACATCCCCTGGAGATGGGGCTGAATCCAGCTCCAAGCTCCTCCTCGGATGGATCCATCCCTGAGCATCTTGTGGGGCCAGACCCAGCCCCAAATATCCGTGGGGCCAGATCCAGCCCTGAGCATCCCATGGGGCCAAATCCAGACCCAAATATCTCCCCCCCCCACCAGGGATGGATCCAGCCTGGAGAATCCCAGATCCAGCCCCAAACCTCCCCCTGGGGATGGATCCAGCCCTGAGCATCTTGTGGGCCAAATCCTGCCCCAAATCCTGGAACACCTACTCCCCCAGGGCTGGATCCAACCCCAAAAAACTCCCCGGGGATGTCTTGAGCCTGGAGCATCCCGTGGGGCCAAATCCAGCCCCAAACACCCCCTGGAAATGGGGCTGAATCCAGCTCCAAGCTTATCCTGGGATGGATCCATCCCGAGCATCTTGTGGGGCCAAATCCTGCCCCAAATCCTGCCAGGAACCAGCCCCAAATACCCACACCCCCAGGGCTGGATCCAGCCCCCCAAAACTCCCCGGGGATGTCTTGAGCCTGGAGCATCCCGTGGGGCCAAATCCAGCCCCAAACACCCCCTGGAAATGGGGCTGAATCCAGCTCCAAGCTTCTCCTGGGATGGATCCATCCCCGAGCATCTGTTGGGGCCAGATCCAGCCCTGAGCATCCCATGGGGCCAAATCCAGACCCAAATATCTCCCCCTCTACCAGGGATGGATCCAGCTTGGAGAATCCTGTGGGGCCAGATCCAGCCCCAAACCTCCCCCTGGGGATGGATCCAGCCCTGAGCATCTTGTGGGCCAAGCCCCAGCCCCAAATATCCGTGGGGCCAGATCCAGCCTTGAGCATCCCATGGGGACAAATCCAGCGCCAAGCACTTCCTGGGATGGATCCAACCCGGAGCACCCTGTAGGGTCACATCCTGCCCCCAACCCCCGCTTGTTTTTGGGGGCCCATCACTGTCCCTCCCCCATCCGGGCCATTCCCGGGGGACAGACAGACGGACATGGCTCATCCCGACCTCTCCGGCCGGATCCTGCCCAGAGAACGTCTAATTTTATCCCAACCCTTGCGCCAACAACGCCAACGCCACGGAAGCGGTTTCCTTTCCCAGCACGTCCCCGTCCCCATGGGAGTTGGAAGGGACGGTACGGGGACACCAAGGGGACAGCATGGAGACACCAAGGGAGAGTATGGGGACATCATAGGGACAGCAGGGGGGACACCAAGGGGAGACACCATAGGCACAGCATGGGGGTGGTATGGGAATATCAAGGGGACAGCGTGGTGACACCATGGGGACACCAAGGAGGGGTATGGGGACACCATAGGGTATGGGAATACCAAGTGGACACGATGGTGACACCATGGGGACACCAAGGAGGGGTATGGGGACACCATAGGGTATGGGAATACCAAGTGGACACGATGGTGACACCATGGGGACAACAAGAAGGGGTTATGGGGACACCATAGGGACAGCATGAGGACACCAAGGGGACAGTATGGAGACACCAAGGCAGAGTATGGGGACACCATAGGTACATCAGGGACACACACCATAGGGACAGTATGGGGATGGTATGGGGACACCAAGGGGAAACACCATAGGGACAGTATGGGGACACCAAGGGGAGTATGGGGACACCATAGGGAATACGCCGTAGGGACAGCATGGGGATGGTATGGGAATACCAAGAGGACAGCATGGTGACACCACAGGGACAACCAGAAGGGGTTATGGGGACACCATAGGGACAGCATGAGGACAGTATGGGGACACCAAGGGGAGTAGGGGGACACCATAGGGAATACGCCGTAGGGACAGCGTGGGGATGGTATGGGAATACCAAGAGGACAGCATGGTGACACCACGGGGCCAACCAGAAGGGGTTATGGGGACACTATAGGGACAGCATGAGGACAGTATGGGGACACCAAGGGGAGTAGGGGGACACCATAGGGAATACGCCGTAGGGACAGCGTGGGGATGGTATGGGAATACCAAGAGGACAGCATGGTGACACCACGGGGCCAACCAGAAGGGGTTATGGGGACACTATAGGGACAGCATGAGGACAGTATGGGGACACCAAGGGGAGTAGGGGGACACCATAGGGAATACGCCGTAGGGACAGCGTGGGGATGGTATGGGAATACCAAGAGGACAGCATGGTGACACCACGGGGCCAACCAGAAGGGGTTATGGGGACACCATAGGGACAGCATGAGGACAGTATGGACACATCAAGGCAGAATATGAGGAGAGCATAGGGACAGCATGGGGATGTATGGGGACACCATGGGAATACCAAGGGGATACCATGAGGACACCAAGGAGGGGTATGGGGACAGTATGGGAATACCAAGTGGACATGATGGTGACGCCATGGGGACAACAAGAAGGGGTTATGGGGACACTATAGGGACAGCATGAGGACAGCATGGAGACACCAAGGGGACAGTATGGAGACACCAAGGGGACAGTATGGGGATACCATAGGGACAGCAGGGACACACCATAGGGACAACATGGGAATGGTATGGGGTCAGTATGGGGACACCAAGGGGACACTAAGGGTTCACCATGGGGAGAGTATGGGGACATACTATAGAAACAGCACGGGGACAGTATGGAAATACCAAAGGGACACCATGGAGACAGTATGGGGACACCAAGGGGACGTGACTCACTCGCTGGTCATCTGCAGGACCTTCTCGATGGTGCTGTAGCCCGAGGCCATGAAGTGCTCCGTGTACTGGGGCATCCTGATGGACTCCAGCCACTCGGGGACGGAGCGGAAGGGGACACCCTCCGAGCCGCTGGTGCTGGGCAGGCGGATGGAGACCCTGGGGGGGCACCAAAAGAGGGGGTGTGAGAAATGGGGCAGGAACCGTCCCCAAAGGAGAGGGTGCAAAAAGCGATGCCAGAGTTGAAAGAGGCAAAAAGTAAAGCAAAAATGGAAGGATGTAAAAAATGATGCGGAAATTGAAGAGTGCAAAAAATGATGGGGAAACGAAAAACGAAAGGACACAAAAAATGATGTGGAAATTAAAGGGTGCAAAAAGTAAAGCAAAAATAGGAGGATGCAAAAAATGATGCAAAAAATAATGCAGAAACAGAAATATGCAAAAAAAATGATGTGAAAGTAGAAGGGTGCAAAAAATGACGTGAAAACGGAAGGGTGCAAAAATAATGTGAAAATGGAAAGAGGCAAGAAATGATGCAGAAATAGGAGGAGGTAAAAAGGGTGCGGAAATGAAAGGACGCAAAAAATGATGTGGAAATGGAAAGGTACAAAAATCATGCAAAAAATAATGCGGAAATGGAAAGACGCAAAAACAGTGCAGAAATGAAAAGGTGTAAAAAAAAATCATGCAGAAATGAAAGGGCGAAAAAAATAATGTGAAAATGGTAAGATGCAGAAAATCATGTCGAAATGGAAGGATGCAAAGAAATAATGCAATAAGAGATGCGAAGAGTAATGCAGGAAGTGGAAAGGCAGAAAATAAGGCAAGAACGCTAAAAAGTGAGAAATGATGCGGAAATGCCAGAGGGAAAAGGAAAAGCTCAAATGCCCAGAAGCAAAGAATCAGAAGAGAAGGCAAGAACGCAAAAAAAAATTACAAAATGCAGAGAGGTAGAAAAGGCAAGAATATATAAGAATATAAAATGGCAAAATTAATTTAAAAAAAAAAAGGGAAAGATGCAAAGGAGGGCAAGAATTAAAGGATGCAAAAATGCAAAGGTGCAATAAAGAAGTGCAAGAAAGGAGAAAGGGGAGGAGCCCTGTGAGAACCCAAAGCTGCCAAATCGATCCAAAAATGCAAAGGTGAAAAAGAGTGCAGGGATGCAAAAATCAACACAAAAAGGCACAGGTGCAGCAAGTGACGCAGGAACGCCGAGGTGCAAAAAATATGCAAGAATGCCAAACTGCAAAAAAGCTGCAAAAAAATGCAAAGGTGGAAAAAAAGTGCAAGAATGCAAAGATGCAAAAAAATGCAAGAATGCCAAGGTGCAAAAAGCAAGTGCAAAAATACAGAGATACAGAAAAGAAGCTCGAGACTGCAGAGATGCAAAAAGCAAGGCAAAAAATGCAAAGGTGATAAAAAGTGCCAGGATGCAGAGATGCAAAAAGCCATGCGAGAAGGCCAGGGTGCAAAAAGGAGTGGAAGAATGCAAAACTGCAACAAACCATGCAAAAAAAAAAAAAAAACAAACCAATAAAAAAAGCAAAGTGGAAAAAGTGCAAGAATGCCAAGGTGCAAAAAAGCAATGACAAAATGCAAAGGGGAAAAAGAGAGGATGCAGGGATGCAAAAATCAACACAAAAATGCACAGGTGCAGCAAGTGATGCAAGAAATGCCAAAAAAGATGCAAAAAAAACTATGCAAGAAATGGCAAACTGCAAAAAAAGATCCAAAAAATGCAAAGGGGGAAAAATGTGCAAGAATGCAAAGATGCAAAAAAGCAATGCAAGGATGCAGAGATGCAAGGAGCCATGTGAGAACGCAAACCTGCCAAATCAAATGCCAAAAAAGATGCAAAAAAAAAAAAAAGCAAGAATGCCAAACTGCAAAAAAAGATCCAAAAAAATGCAAAGGGGGAAAAAAAGTGCAAGAATGCAGAGATGCAAAAAGCAATGACAAAATGCAAAGGGGAAAAAGAGTGCAAGGATGCAAAAATCAACACAAAAGTGCACAGGTGCAGCAAGTGATGCAAGAAATGCCAAAAAAGATGCAAAAAAGATGCAAAAAAAACCCAACCAAGAATGCCAAACTGCAAAAAAAGATCCAAAAAAATGCAAAGGGGGGAAAAAAAGTGCCAGAATGCAAAGATAAAAAAAAAAAACAAACAAGAATGCCGAACTGCAAAAAAAGATCAAAAAAAATGCAAAGGTGGAAAAAAGGTGCAAGAATGCAAAGATGCAAAAAAGCAATGCAAGGATGCAGGGATGCAAGGAGCCATGTGAGAATGCAAACCTGCCAAATCAATGCAAAAATGCAAAGGTGAAAAAAAGTGCAAGGATATCAAGATGCAATAAAGAAATGCAAGAATGCAGAAATGCAAAAAAAAATCCTGCAAAGGTGCAAAAAGCAATGCAAAAATGCAAAGGTGGGAAGAAGTGTAAGAATGCCCAGATGCAAAAAAAAGGGAATGAAAAAATGCAGAGATGCAAAAAGAGATGCGAGAAGGCCAGGGTGCAAAAAGGAGTGGAAGAATGCAAAACTGCAACAAACCATGCAAAAAAAAAAAAAAAAAAAAACAAAAAAAAAAGCAAAAGGGAAAAAATGCAAGAATACCAAGGTGAGCAAGAAATGCCAAAAAAGATGTGAAAAAGATGCAAAAAAAACCCAACCAAGAATGCCAAACTGCAAAAAAAGATCCAAAAAAATGCAAAGGAGGGAAAAAAAGTGCAAGAATGCAAGGATGCAAAAAGCAACACAAAAGTGCACAGGCGCAGCAAGTGATGCAAGAAATGCCAAAAAAGATGTGAAAAAGATGCAAAAAAAACCCAACCAAGAATGCCAAACTGCAAAAAAAGATCCAAAAAAATGCAAAGGGGGGAAAAAAAGTGCCAGAATGCAAAGATGCAAAAAGCAATGCCAAAATGCAAAGGGGAAAAAGAGTGCAAGGATGCAAAGATGCAAAAAAGCAATGCCAAAATGCAAAGGGGAAAAAGAGTGCAAGGATGCAAAAAATCAACACAAAAATGCACAGGCGCAGCACGTGATGCAAGAAATGCCAAAAAAGATGCAAAAAAGATGCAAAAAAAAAAAAAAAAGCAAGAATGCCAAACTGCAAAAGAAGATCCAAAAAAATGCAAAGAGGGAAAAAAGTGCAAGAATGCAGAACTGCAGTAAAGAAGTGCAAGGCTGCAGAGCTGCGAAAGAGCACGCAGGGATGCAGGGATGCAAAAAGGAGCGCAAGAATGAGAAGGTGCAAAAAAGAATGCAAAAAAACCCCAAAACCCTCGATGGTGCACGAGAGTGTGCACCCCCATCCTGCCCCCCTCCCTTCAGACTCCCCCCGCCCCATCCCGTCCCTCATGATGCAAGAAATGCCAAAAAAGATGCAAAAAAAATAAAATGCAAGAATGCCAAACTGCAAAAAAAGATCAAAAAAATGCAAAGGGGGGAAAAAAGTGCAAGAATGCAAAGATGCAAAAAAGCAATGCCAAAATGCAAAGGGGAAAAAGAGTGCAAGGATGCAAAAATCAACACAAAAATGCACAGGCGCAGCAAGTGATGCAAGAAATGCCAAAAAAGATGCAAAAAAGATGCAAAAAAGATGCAAGAAATGCAAAAAAAATGCAAAAAAAAAAGCAAGAATGCCAAACTGCAAAAGAAGATCCAAAAAAATGCAAAGAGGGAAAAAAGTGCAAGAATGCAGAACTGCAGTTAAAAAAAAATGCAAAGGTGGAAAAAAGTGCAAGAATGCAGAACTGCAATAAAGAAGTGCAAGGCTGCAGAGCTGCGAAAGAGCACGCAGGGATGCGAAAAGGAGCGCAAGAATGAGAAGGTGCTAAAAAAGGATGCAAAAAAAAATCCCCAAAACCCTCGATGGTGCACGAGAGTGTGCACCCCCATCCTGCCCCCCTCCCTTCAGACTCCCCCCGCCCCATCCCGTCCCTCACCGGGGGTCGAAATCCGCCAGCGCCTTGAGGGACTCGGGGGCGCGGATGAGCTTGTCGAGGATGCTGACGATGTCGGCGAATTTGGGGCGCCGGCTGCGCTCCTGCTGCCAGCACTGCATCATCAGCTGGTAGATGGCAGAGGGACAATCCAGGGGGGCTGGCAGGCGGAAGCCCTCGTTGATGGCCTTCATCACCTATGAGGAGGAGGAAGAGGAGAAGGTTGAGTGGTGCTTTCTCCCTAAAAACGGCCCGTTTGAAAGAACGCGGCCCACAAAAATAGGTGGTGGAGGAAGGTGGGTGCTCACCTCGTGGTTGGAGAGCTCCCAGTATGGTCGCTCGCCGTAGGACATCACCTCCCACATGACGATGCCGTAGCTCCAGACGTCGCTGGCGGAGGTGAACTTGCGGTAGGAGATGGCTTCGGGTGCCGTCCAACGGATGGGGATCTTCCCACCCTGTGATGACATTGGGGTCAACCCCAGAAAAAAAACACCCCACCCCTCCATGACCAACCATCCCACCTTGGTGGCACTTACGCTGGTGGTGTAGGTGGCTTCAGGGTCATCTTCCAACACCCTCGAGAGCCCAAAGTCAGACACTTTGCACACCAGGTTGCTGTTCACCAAGATGTTCCGAGCGGCCAGATCCCGGTGGACGTAATTCATGTTGGCCAAGTACTTCATGCCGGCGGCGATGCCCCTCAACATCCCCACCAGCTGGATGACGCCAAATTCCCCTTCTTTTTCCTGGGAAAAGGGGAGGATCAGGTCTGGAATCCATCTCTGGTCCCACCTCCTGTGGTGTGGTTTTGGTGGTTCCATCACCCGGTAAATCCTTGCCCCGGGGCGGACACGTTGCCATCACGCTTGACCTACCCTCAGGAATTTATCCAGCGCGCCGTTCTCCATGTACTCCGTAATGATCATGAAGGGCTTGTCTGGACCAAAAAAAAGACACCCAAAATGGGTAAACTCCCCCCCAAACTTCACCCAAAACCTCCCAAAAAACCCCCCAAACCACAAAAGCCACAATCCCCACAAAAACAACAAAAAAACCCTCCCAAACCCCCTAAACTCACCACCCCCAAAATCCCAAACTCCCAACTTCTCCCTAAAATCCACCCCCAACCCTCAAAATAAGGCAAAAAAACTCCACTCCCCGCAAAAACCCCCAAAACCCAAAAAAACCTCATGGCCCCAAAAACCTACCCCCTAAAGAACCCCCCAAACCCTCCAACCCACCCTCAAATAAACCCACCCCCCAAATAACTCTGCCCCCCAAAATTCCACCCCTCCCAAACCCC